GGGGGGGTGGGGGGTGGGGGGGAATACCCAAACCAAAACAAAAAACCCCCACTTTGACAAGTACGATTTAGTGATGTAGCATAAACTGTTCAAGTACAGATGCTGTGTTGTGTGCCGTCGATTTTTGCATGTGCATGTATATGTACATATAAATCTGTTTGCTGTGTCAGGACTAACTTATTTTATTCTCAGCTGTTTGTAGAATAATTAACTGTGTTAAGAAATGAACAATGGCTAATGTTTAGACCAGCTGCTTTGTAATTGAATTGACATTGACTCTTGGAAAACAGACTAAAATCCAGCAAGTCACATGTGTTACACAGTGGCTGAGTGGAGGTATGGGACTTCGTTTGCAATCTGCAGCACATGTATTTCAGCACATGCTGAAAACATTAATGTCAGGGGATTTTGGATGCTTGGAAGAGGTATAGCTGACTCTGGTGAGGGGGGAACATTACTCCTTCCCATAAGAGACATGTCTGTAGGAGAGCAGACTGCTGTGTGCATGTGCCTGTTTCTGTATTTTCTTTAAAACCTCTTTTCTCAATGTTGTTGGTTTTTTGTTTGTTGTGTTTTGGTTTTTTTTGCCAAGAGCATTATTCAAGATTTAAAGAAAAACTTTGAAATAGTGAAGTTGGTGACGGGAAGCTTAATATCTTGCCACCGTTTGGCTGCATCTGTGGCAGGTCCAGGAGGGCTTGTTGGAGCAACATTAGTGGATGGCCGATACACTTACCGGGAGGTACTGAACCCTGAACTTCTTACTACCTTAGGTTTTTGAAAACATGACGTAGTGTATCAAGTTCCGTAAGATTAGGTGATGTTTCATTTTTTGGTATTCACTGGTATGTATGTGCTCTCTGGTGAATAATTACGCTAATTTTTATTTATAGTTCTGACACTTCTATTAGGGCTTGTTGCAGCCTCGTTTTTATGTTATAGAGCAAGGGTGGGCAAACATCACAATCTACAAGTTTCTTAGCAGAGTCTTTAACTGGTCGAGAGCTAAATCTCCCCACCCCAGGCCCTCCTGTCTCCAAGCTTGTGCAGCTTCCAGCTTCTCCACCAGCTCCAGTTCAACTACCCTTGTAGACACTATACCTTTGAATTTGATGTCAAGTTCTTGAAACCTGAAGCAGATTTGTTAGCTAGGACATGGAAGCCACACACACAGATAACTTGTAATGGTTTGTTGCTATGGTTTTGATAATTGTTTTTTTCCACACTTGTTATGACTTAAGAAAGTAATAACAAATCCAAAGGGACTTCAATGTTGCTTTTTAGAAAGGTAATCAAAAAGAAGTAGTGTTAAAAATTGTAGAAAATAGAAATAAATCTCCCAGCAGAAACAATTTTTGTTTACCAGGCTTTGCAAAGTGTACTGTTACTTGACAATTAAGTTTGCAAAAAATAAAAAGAATGCTCAGAGTTCTTGTTTCAGAAAGAAAAGTCTTAAGCTTGAGTTTTTGTTTCCTCTTTCTCAGTATTTGGAGGCACATCTAAAATTTTTGGCATTTTTTCTGCAAGAAGCCACCCTTTATTTGGGCTGGAATCGTGCCAGGGAGATCTGGGAATGCCTTGTAACTGGCCAGGATGTTTGTGAGTTAGATCGAGAGGTAAGAAAAACTTGAAAAGTTGGTGTCTGTGATTGCAGAGTGAATCTTGGTGAAGCATGAATAGCACGTGTGTTTGTTGAGACATGTGAAACGTAAGTAGCAAACACAAACTAATAGTGCATTTATATGCTTTTTGTAAGCTAATGGAGCCACTGTTAAATGTTCAATTACGACTAGGATGTTCTTTTAACATTAAAATTGGCTGAAGGAGGAATGTTGGCCGGGAGATTAGTTACAGGTTTATGGATGCTGATTTGAAAAGAGGTACGTGCAAGTTTGCAGAGTCATAAAAGAGACATTCAGCATTATTTGAGGGAAAGATGGCTATGAAGACAAAGTACTCTAATGCTGCAATACAGCCTGTATAATATGTGAGGTTACTAGGAGACTAGATTTTGAACCTCTTACTGTAGATAAAACTTCTGTAAGATGAGTTACTGCAGTATCTGACATAGCTTGCCAATGCTGTATAAAACTAAAATATTTGCCATGACAATAGGGTAAAAATACATCTGCCTTTCATTCACAGATGTGCTTTGAGTGGTTTACAAAAGGACAGCATGATCTAGAGAGTGATGTACAGCAACAGCTCTTCAAAGAGAAGATTCTTAAACTGGAGTCATATGAAATTACTATGAATGGTAAGAAAATGCCTTGGGTCAACAGATTTGTTTTTGAAATATATGCTAGAAATTTGCTTCCTAAGTCTTCAAATTAAATATCTAAACAGTTCTGTAAATCAGTATAATAAAGGGATCTTTTTCTATCATTTTGAGTTTTAATAGTTGTAGAGGGAAAAGGTCATCTTCTGTATTTGATATCTTCATTTTTTCAAAAAAGCATAGAAACTTAGCCTGACCTGAATAAAAAGCTTACACCTTTTTTCACTTTCAGGTTTTAGTTTATTTAAGACTTTCTTTGAAAATGTGAACCTGTGTGACCATCGACTAAAGAGGCAAGGAACTCAATTGGTGAGTGTTCTCGCAAGTTTATTCTTGTATATTTGGGGATAGGAGGAGGTGAGACAAGGATTCTTTCGCAGATGTTTGGCATGATCCTGTTTATGTTAAGATGCCAATTGTCCTTCTAGCATTAACACTGTTAAATTCTGAAACTAAAACTCCAGAATTACGACAGTTAAAATTCAGCAATTAGTATCTGGAAGCTGGTATGTAGCTTCTAAACCTTTGTGGGAGGAATGAGTGGACTACTTATTTATTAATAGTCATGAATTGTGGTATGCATTTTTTGCTTCTCCCTGGCAGGGAAAATTTGCTTGGGTTTTGGGTTTTTGGTTTTTTTTCCTTCTTTAGAAGAGATTTAAGCTTATTATATTCAAATTCTAACCTACAACAATTTTTAACTCTGTGATCCTTCAACATTTTTGTTAAATTAATGGTTATATGTTAAGTAGTTTTCCATAGGCATTTTAGATCTTTATCACAGAGAGTTAACTTACTTCAGATGCATAATTTTTTGCCAAGTATCATAGTAGATTTTGTGATGGTTTATTGTATGGTAACTACCGTGTTGACCTTTGTGAAATAAATTCCATTCCCAAATAAATTTCTCTATGCTTTTGAAGTTTTTAATTTTTCAGTTGGCTTGACTGAGAGTGTTCTTTGGAACTTGTTTATCCACCTGTAAACAAATTATTTTTTTCTAGTATAAATATACAAATCTGCAGCTATTGCTTTCATTTTGCACTGTGCTAAAGCTTGGCAGCATATTGGAAAAGAAAATTTTTAAGATTCAGTCAAAAGATGCTTTTCCAGCAGGTGGATGACTCTTTTGTTCCTGTGATTACGTAAGAAATCCAGTCCATTTACTGTTGTTCTTTCCTGTGTAGAGTGTAGAAAAACTGGAATTAATAGGAATGGATTTCATTTGGAAGATTGCAATGGAGTCACCTGATGAAGAAATTGCCAATGAAGCTATTCAATTGATAATAAATTATAGCTATATTAATCTAACTCCTAGATTGAAAAAGGTAGGCAAGTATTTATACATGAAAGGGCTTTGACATTCATAGAGCCTTGATACTCTGCATGTTAAAATGTGTCATTTGTTGGGTTCTGTTGGTTCATGAGTAATTTCCATTATTTTGGTTTAAGTTCTAATTCATTTGCATATTTTATCTTTAGGATTCAGTATCACTACACAAGAAATTCATTGCTGATTGCTACACACGATTAGAGGTAAAGGACAAATTTTAATTGTTCTTGTACCTACATCCTTTTTCAGTTTTGTATCTTAGAATTAGAATAATTGACTGCAATAATTCTATTTCAAGAAAAAATTTCTTTCCACAAATATTTCTTGTCCTCTTAGCTCTCCAGGACATACTAATTGTCCATGTAAACCAGCACTTATACTCTGCTTTGTATTCTAGGCAGCCAGCTCTGCACTTGGTGGTCCAACGTTAACACATGCTGTTACAAGAGCTACAAAAATGCTTACAGCAACTGCTATGCCTACAGTAGCAACATCAGTTCAGTCTCCTTACAGGTAAGCCTGCCTTTAAAAGAATAAATATGACAATAGACATTTGCTCCCAGCTGCTTCCCACATGATTTTGAGTGCTAATGAAAATTCTCAGTATTGGTAGCTGTATAATCTGGTGGTTTCTCAGTTGAATATTCCAATTATAATGCAATTTGAGTTCCAAAGAGACTTTGAAAAACTTGTGTTTTAAAAAACGCACAAACAAAAAAGAAATCCAAAACCCAACACCCCCCATGACCCCCCCAAAAAACCAAAACCAACCAACAGAAACAAAAAAAACCCAAACAAACACTAAAAACCCCACAGATTATTACCATTCTATTAGTCATGTAATATTTCTGGCGCAGCAGAGTTTGGTTTGGTTTTTTAATTGGGAGAGGAAAGGATGTTTTTTCATCCTCTAGCCTAACTTATGCATATCTAAATGTATGTAACTTAAATATAGGAGCGCAGGGTGGGACCTTTAGAAATGTGAGGCTGTTTTTCTGAAGCTGGCTACATCTCAAGCAGTATAACACGAGCTTCTTGGCATGTTTTCCTAGTTAGTTTCAACTGAATTAACTCCAAGTTTAAGGATTTATATTTGAAAACAGCTAATTCATGGTGGTTACCCGTGGGTGTTGAAAATTAATCTCTGAGACAACTTACTCTTGTTTTCAATGTTTATCTTTAGGTCAACTAAACTTGTAATAATTGAGAGACTGCTGCTGTTGGCAGAGCGTTACGTGATAACAATAGAGGTAAGATACGTCATTTCTTACTAGGCAAGGCTAAGAAAACAACTTCCAATGTTACTAAAAATAGTAAAAGTTATTTAAACCCATGCAACTCTAGTAACTTTATTACATACTATTATAGAAATGGCTTTCTTTTCAAGGGTGGTATTTACTATCATCCTTTTCTTCCTGTAGGACCTTTATTCTGTTCCCCGAACTATTCTACCTCACGGTGCTTCTTTCCATGGACATCTTTTAACACTTAATGTTACGTACGAGTCTACCAAAGATACCTTCACCATAGAGGTATGTGTGCACAAGTTATGTGTGTCATGCGGTGTTGATCATGTAACTACTCTTGGGTTTTTTTGATGCCTGAACTGAACAGAGTAAGCTGGTTTTAAGGACTCCAGTCGACTTGAAGACTCTCAGAATGTTAAAAGTCCATATAAGACTACTGTAATGGAAGTGTCTATGGACTAAATGTATTTTGATCATCATTCTGGGGTGGGAAAAAGAAGTTGTTTGCTTACTGTTGGTGTTGGAGCATTTCTACTGCTGTCCTACCCTGTCAGTCTCTTTTGTGTACAATACCTTTACCACCCTATGCAGAGAAGCAGGAAGAATTTAATGGAAGATTTTTCTTTTTTTCTCTTGGAATTTACTGCTTGAGCAGATGTTACTGAACCAGTGTCGTTTAATTTTACAGGCTCATAGCAATGAAACTGTAGGGAGCATCAGGTGGAAGATAGCAAAGATGTTGAATTCGCCTGTGGATAATATACAGATATTTGCCAATGACAGCCTGGTATGTTAACTACAAAGAATTCTTGTTCTTTATGCAATTGAGTCTCTTCCAGAACCAAATGATAAATATTTTCTTGCAGCTAACCGTAAACAAAGATCAGAAGCTACTCCACCAACTGGGCTTCTCTGATGAACAAGTCCTTACCGTAAAAACATCAGGAAGTGGGACTCCATCGGGGAGCTCTGCAGATTCCTCAACCGGTTCCAGCAACAGTGGCAATGTATTTAGTTCATCCTATGCAATGGAACAGGTACAGCATAATAGCCTGAAACCTTTCCTCAGATTTTTGCTGGAGGGAGGATAGTTGGGGGAGACACAGCTGGGGTTGAAGAGGTACAGTAAAATGAGCTGTTCACATCAGTTTGAGTATCCAGTCTTTAGTCATCTAGTTTTGCTTTCAAACTGAGATTTAAACGAAGCATTTAAATACACAATTGCCTTATGCATGCAGATTGGACTTTATAATATGTATTCTGTCACCTGTTGTAACCTGCTTGGTGTTTATTAATCTCTACAGGGTCTTTTAAACAAACAAGACCCATATGATTTAACTTTGAGACACTGTATTTGTTGGGGGGAGAAATTTCCAGATTTCCACTATTAATAAAGCTGCAGAATGAAAATAAACTAAGAAGCATCGACTAGTGTGTTCAGACCACTCCTGGTCTGCTTTGTATGTCAAGCCTAACTAACAGTTGACTTCAAAAATTGATTGTTAAAAGGGAAATGGGGTAATGTAAAAATGCAAATGTTGTCTCAGTCTAGAAAGTAGCTGGGATTGCTGCAGGCCAGGTTGGCATCTGGGTAAGTTGCCTCAGTGAAGAGCTCTCTTAAATTACTTCCAACAGAGAGGGGAGAAAAGACTTTTGTATTTCTGCTTAATTCTCAGGAGAAATCCCTTCCTGGAGTAGTCATGGCTCTCGTGTGTAATGTGTTTGATATGCTTTACCAGCTTGCCAATCTAGAGGAGCCAAGGTAAGCAAGCTAAATGGTTATTAAATACTAAAGAAATGCTCACACTGCAAAGTTTGGATAGCTACATATTTCACAGTGTGTAGGCATCCACCAGGCCGCAGTGTGACTGAGCCCCATTTTGCAAAAGTAACTTGTGATAACTTTTCAGGATAACACTGCGAGTAAGGAAACTTCTGCTCTTGATTCCCACCGACCCAGCTATTCAGGAGGCTCTTGATCAGCTTGATTCCCTGGGCAGGAAGGTATGGATTAAACAGTAACTAATCTTGGTGAGCATAACAAAAAGGATTTTACTACCAAGTTTCTTAAATTCCCAGTCAGGTTATAATCTGTGAAGAGTTTGAAACTGTACTGCAAAATAATGCCTGTGTTAAGGATTATTGACTTATTTGAAAGCTGGAGAGGGACTTTTTACAAGGGCATGGAGTGATAGGACACGGGCAATGTCTTTAAACTGAACGAGGGTAGATTTAGGTAAGATATAAGGAGGAAATTCTTCACCATGAGGGTGGTGAGGCAGTGGAACAGGTTGCCCAGAGAAGCTGTGGATACCTCATCCCTGGAAGTGTTCAAGGCCAGGTTGGATGGGGCTTCGAGCAACCTGATCTAGTGGAATGTGTCCCTGCCTATGACAGGGAGGTTGGAACTAGATGATCTTTAAGGTCCCATCCAACCCAAACCATTCTGTGATTCCAAGGAGCTGGAGGTGAGAGGGTTATTACAGGGAGTATAGGAAATGTACTGCCAGTTACAACAAAATGCAGTGGTCTCAAAATATTTCTTCTCTGGCTTTTTCCTCCTAGAAAACACTGCTATCAGAATCAAGTTCTCAGTCTTCAAAATCACCATCCTTGTCTTCAAAACACCAACATCAGCCCAGTGCTAGTTCAATACTAGAGAGTCTTTTCAGATCTTTTGCTCCAGGCATGTCAACCTTCAGAGTGCTCTACAATTTAGAGGTAAGAAAACAAATGTACTATTTTCTACTTGTGTTTCTGAGCACTAAAGTTTAAGTAGTTCAGAGTTTATTGGGCAGGAGTCCACCATGACAGGGTCATTATGCAAAATGCGAGTGTCATGTCATAGTCTGCTTTTATGTATGTGATAAACTCTACACGGAACGAAAGGGTTGAAAAGTTCCCCTTTAGAGACTTCACTGTGAAACCAGGCCCCTCTTCCTGCGATTTGCAAGGTGGAACAAGTGTTCTGAAGTAAGTGGAGAGGAGCAAAGAAACATCAAAGTCCTTACTGTTTAGATAAAATTCCTGCTTGAATCTCCAGAAAATCTTGAGTATGTGATTTTTAGTATATAAATAAAAAGAAGTAGTTGACTCTTAAAAATCAATTGGAGCTGTTGTTTAGTTTGATTGGTTTTGCTCAGTTCAGTTTGAAAGAAAAAAAAAATGCTAACTTCCCTTCTGTATAAGTCTACTGTATTCTGTCTGTAGAGGCTAAGGAGGAATATTTTTGAGAAGCATTCAACTGTGAAGAATTTTCACTGTTCGAATGTGCAAGGCTTTTACCCAGAAGCTTCTGTCCTGTTTTAGCTGTGCATGTAAAGCAAGTGGAATACCTACAATATTTTTTTTACCCCTAAGTATTCTTCTGAGTAGGTTCTTTAGCCGAAACACTGGATTGGACCCTGAAAAAAGATTCTTTTCAAGTGTTCAGTGCATGGATTTTGAGGAGTATAAGAGAGTTCAGCTGGTGTCATTAGGACAATGCAATCTGCATGCCCTAGGAAGCTGGACTGTTTCTAGTTCTACTCAAAGGTCCTCCTATTTGTAAGGATCCATTACCAATATGGTTTGAACAACTTGAAGTTGGAGGACTGGTTGGCAGCAGCTTCAAAAACAGTGGACGAAGTTACTCTCTTTCATTCCCGGTGTGTACCAAGATTACTGTAGGAATTTGCTTGTAGTTGCTTTCCTTTGAGTTTCTGCAGTCTAATGTTAGCTCTTCATCTTCCTACGCTGTCATCGCACTGCAACGCTGGGATTCCCCCCTTTTCTGTACAGCTGGAATGAAAGATACTCGATGATGTCTTTGAAATATGTTGGCAAGTTCTACAACTGAAAGCAAATGGTTTAGGATATCACAGCAAGGGTATCTTGTTGAACTGGCAGGTTATATTACAGTATGATGAGACAGTTATCTGCTGCTTCTATGCCAGAGAAAATAATAAAAGCAAGTAATAAATTGCTTACTTTTCTGGCAAGGGATAAGAAGTAATAAATTGGATTAGATGTGTAGATTATATGAGTGGACTCAAGTCCAGTCAAGCCAATTGGAGGATGATTTCTGTCAGGAAAAGGATGGTGTGCTTTTTTTATCCCCTCAGCTGGTGATCCATAGAAAATATGGGAACCAGTCTGAAATGCTTTCTGAAAAAATGTGCACAGGAAATTTACAGAGTATATGAAAGAGATGAAAATGAAATGTTGCAGATGTTCAGGGTTATATTATGCAGTGTTGTGATAAGATTTCATGCCTGGTACTCTGTAAACAATTCTTCTGACCTCTGAACCTGGAAAAGATGTATTTTGTTTTCCCACATGGAACATTGTTGGCTGTACATGCCAAAGAGACTTTACAAGAAAGTAAAAAACCCCTGGGGGGGGGTTCTGGGGTTTTGGGAGGGACTGGGGTTTTTTGTTTGTTTGGGTTTGTTTTGTTTTGTTTCTTTATGTAAAATGAAGTGAAATTTATTATAAATGTACATGAGATCTGTCCCACAGAGACTGCAGACTTCCTTATGGCCACGTATCTAAGCATAATTCCACTCTGAAGTTTTGTGCTGACTTAAAACAGGAAGGATAATGCAATGGTGATGTTCATAAGGCCTGTAGAATTGCCTGGACCATCTTCTACAAAAAACCTCAATAATAGCAATATGGTTATGTTTCAGAAGGCATGAATCAATAAGTAGTGTGTTTTATGGGATACTGTCAACTGAAAATCTAGATGGGAGAAGGATTTGGGCTCTTAAGGAGCACCAACTGAGCCTGAAGACAGCATTTCACATGCTAGAGTGTGTACTTTATGCTTTCCCTTGACAAGTAAACTGCAATGAGAAAAAAATGCCCTTTGATACAAAATAAATATCTATACTAGCCATAGTTGTCCTGAATATTTTTTTATGTGATTTCACTGAGTACAGCTTTGCATAAGTGTATTGTTAATTGCTTCATTTGTAGTGGGGTTTTTTTCTGTTCCACTTTTAACCTTCAGCAGATAAAGAATAGTAAGGGAGGGCGGTGTATGCATGCTTATTTATTCATTTATTTTAGGTACTGAGCTCCAAGCTGATGCCAACCGCAGATGATGAAATGGCCAGAAACTGTGCCAAGTCTTTCTGTGAAAACTTCCTCAGAGCAGGAGGTTTGAGGTTAGATTTCAAAATCTTGACTCAATTTATAACACTTCATTTAGTTAGCACTTCTACGCGGATTCCGATTTCCACACTGTAGCATACTAGTACACCTGTCAGCATCTTTTACAGAGAAAAATAAATCCACCCAAAGCTGTTTTTTCATTGTCTGGTGTCTGATAAGGTACTGTAGCTACCATAGTAATGTAACAGAGTACGTGTTGTTAAGTCCCAAAAATAAAGCTAGGCACAGATAAGCTTGTGAATTGTAGCGTTTACTAAGGCAGCTGATATTTGGATAGTTAGCATTGAAGTGTTTCAGTGCAAATTTGCCAGAGTGTATGTTACACTGTCGTGCATAGATACCAGTGGACATCTTAAGCAGTCAAAGCATAGATGCTGCAGTGGGAAGCAAATCAAATTTTACAGTCTCCAAAATTCAGACCCTTCAGATATGAGTTGAAGCACAGTGTAAGTGGTTTGGAAGACCTGGCAATATTGCTTGTGCTTGTATCATGTTTACCAAGTATATGTTGCTCTTAGTAGTTCTATCAATCCACCACCCCATAGGCCTTGAAGCGTTTTCCAGCAGGAACAAAAACCTTCCACCTGTAGCTGTAGGAGGAGAAAATGGTGGTGTTAGTCTCCAAAGATGCCAGTTTGGCAGTTTTGACTGATACTCAGCTGAATTAATAGGAGGAGGGAAAGGACAGAAAGAAATTATTTGAGGCTCTCTCCTAATGTAAAACATTTTCAAACAGAGTCTGTCTTATTTATTTGTTTTTAAGTTTGGTGGTGAATGTGATGCAGAGAGATTCCATCCCATCAGAAGTAGACTATGAAACAAGGCAGGGAGTCTATTCCATTTGCCTGCAACTTGCAAGGTATGTAATTGCCTTTCATTAGAGCAAGTGCTGCTTTCTCGGCTTTTAGAGTGCAACTTATAATATTTAAGGTTAATTGGTACTTTGAGTTCTGTTTCATTCACTTGCTGTGAACATTCAAAAATAAGCCTGACGTTTTTGCTCTGTGAATGTAGGTTCTTGCTTGTTGGCCAGACAATGCCTACCTTACTGGATGAGGATTTCATTAAAGATGGGGTAGAAGCATTGTCCTCACGCCCCTTCCGTAATGTCAGCCGACAAGCAAGTAGGCAGATGTCCATTTGTGGAACACCTGAGAAGTCATCCTACCGACAGCTCTCTGTGTCTGATAGATCCTCCATTAGGGTAGAAGAAATCATACCAGCAGCAAGAGTTGCCATACAAGTAAGGAAGTGTTTGATGATTTGTGGTGATGTAGCAGTGTCATCTCCAATGACAGCTGTATAAATCCTGGATTTTTAATCAAAAGTCTTCCTTTTATACAGATTTTTGCCCAGGCTCCATTTAAAAGCCTCTGAAAATCCTGAGCATCAGTCTCTCTTCCCAATCTTGATCTGAATTTTAACAGTCTCAGAAATTATTTTGGCGGTACAAAGGGAAGCAGTACCCCAAAAGTGCTTACCAGAAATAGATCTACATGGAAGTCTTCCTTGTGATTTATTTTCAGTCATGCTTAACTGTAAGATTGTATTCTTGTTAATCTTCTGTGAATAGAAAGGAGAAGGTTCCTGCTTGGACTTGTGGCTCATAGTCCACACTCCTTTGCATTAGAAATTTGGGGCAAGTTTTTTGTTTCAAATAGCTCATTAAAAATTAAATTTGCTTGATGGTACCCTGGGGGAAAAGGAAATTTTTATTTTCAATACTTTAAGAGAATGCTATTTTCCCCTTTATAGGCATGTCAGTGTAATTAATCTGAGACTGGCTGTTTACTAAAACAAGCTAATCTGACAAGAACTGAACTCATTTGAAAGTTGAGTTCAGTTGAAAGAAACTTGACAGTTAATGTAACGAGTGTGTTATGTTAGGTTCTTGGGCAGTGCTTCCAAAATGGATCACTATGATTGAAATCAGCATGCCTAACTCCAGATAGGTGAAAAGGGTATGTACCCTAGTAGAGACTTTAAAACCGAACTACTTCCTATTAAGAGAACAGTTCTAATCTCTCTGTGGGAACAAAAAGGCTCTGATATCCTTGAGCCTGCTTAGAGAAGAGAGGAAAACAAACCCAAATGTCAATTTGATGTGATCCAGAAGATACATTCCTCTTATCCCTTTGATTAACAAAGGCTGTTAAATATCGCAGAAGTAAATACTGTTTCTTGTTCCTTCAGACTATGGAGGTGAATGATTTCACTTCCACGGTGGCTTGCTTCATGCGACTCTCTTGGGCTGCTGCTGCAGGACGACTGGACCTCGTGGGAAGCAGTCAGCCGATAAAAGAGAGCAACACTTTATTTCCTGCTGGGATTCGAAACAGACTTAGCAGCTCAGGTAGGTTAACTGTGTCTCTAAACCAATCTAAAGAAAGCATTTGGTTTATTCTTAATTGAACACTTTCAAAGCTTGAAGCTGAATTCATTGCAGTTAGACTCAATGATCCTCTTGGGTCTCTTCCAACTCAGGATATTATGTGATTGAATTACACAAAACTGAGCAACATGCTGTACATTCATGTGGCATTTGGAGATGTAGCATATGGAGAAGGTTTTTAAATTGCAGAGAACTGACCAGAATCTGAAAACGTCTGAAAGTTGTAATGGATTACAGCACTTGTTTATGTCTTAATGCAGGAAGTAATTGCAGTTCAGGAAGCGAAGGAGAGCCAACTGCGCTGCACGCTGGTATCTGTGTGAGACAGCAGTCTGTATCTACCAAAGATGCTCTGATTGCTGGAGAAGCCTTGTCTCTCTTAGTAACCTGCCTTCAGCTACGCAGTCAGCAACTAGGTATGAAATAAAATCAGATTACTCACTGTTTGGAATATGAATAAGGTGGGGGAAGGCTTTTGGAGACAGCCGAGTACAAAAAAAATAATGAGAAACTTCTAGCTTTGTAAACTGAGACAGCTCAAGCTAAAACCACAAAATTTCATTAAAAAATAGAGGTTTTTTTGCAGGACTGAAGAACAGGTGGCATGAAACAAGGCATGCAGTGCTGTGCCTTAATGAAATGTTTTGGGAAAGCTGACTTACTGCCAGTATATAAATATTTGCACTGGCTTTGAAGTATGTAAATCTGTAAGTGCTGCTGTTTGCACAACTAGTGTTTAGTATTAGAACCTTTCTGTACGGGAAGTGTAAACATTGGTGGTGGTGGAAGGTGAAGGAAAATGCTGGTTTAATGTGGTGCCAGTCTCCGGTGAGGGAAAGAAGTGGAGAAATATGCAAATAGCCGTTACTGCTTTTCAGTGTTGTTGGGGGGATGTCCGCTAGGTCCTATGGTATTTTAATGCAAGACTAGAACTGACTTATTTTAAATTATTATTTTGAAAAAGATAGCCTGCTACTCTTCTGTTCTAGGATCTTTTTACAATTTGCCTTGTGTTGCTGATTTCATCATTGACATACTGCTTGGATCACCAAGTGCTGAGGTGAGAGTCTTTCTCTGGAAACTTCTTATGTTACACTTCTGAAATGTGTACACTTTGATCATTTAATATGGTCTGATAAAATTGTTCATTACAACTATTCCCACAGTTTTTTGTATTTGAATGAATAACCTTCATAGAATTGTTAGTAATTCCAGTACCTAGTGATGTGTTGATAGGAAATGCTGAGATACTACATTCTTTAGGCTTGTTCAATCCATGGGGTACACAGGACTGCACTGTGGCTAGTCTAAAGGAAATAGTCATATTTTGGTGGGACAAATTCTGTAAAACCTAGTAATTTAGGGAAAGTTCCAAGTAACTTTCATCTCAAAAGATTTGTGTAAGATTTAGTGGACTCTTCTAACCTTCTGAAAAATTCTTCCAAATGTCAGAACCCTCCTGAAATTCATTCTTTCTGATTTAAGATTATTCTGGATGTTCTAAAATCTAGAGATTTTCAAGTCATGCTTACTTCATTTCCTTTCATCTCATATTTTGCGTGAAATCATTGCATCTTTTCCCCCTTATCTGAATTTATAATCTGTGTTTAATAAAGCATCAGAGCTTTTAGCTCAGGGATGAAGGTGGTTTGCTAAATCCCTATAAATAGAGAAACCCTGGCTGACAAGTGCAGAGCTCATAGTCTGGTTTACGCAAGCTTTTCAATGTCGTGTTTTTTCTGTTAGACTTCTAACAAAACAGAAGTGTATTTTTTTCAACTTTTGAGCAACTGCCAGTGTTTGACAATGACACTATTTCAGATTCGTCGTGTTGCCTGTGACCAGTTGTACACCCTTAGTCAGACAGACACATCAGCTCACCCAGACGTACAAAAGCCAAACCAGTTTCTCCTGAGTGTTGTTCTTGGTGCTCAGCTGCCCCTTTGGTCACCAACCAGCATCATGAGAGGAATCAACCAGAGGTAAGTCAGATACGTGTTTATTGAGGAAGCAAATCTATCACATTTTTAAATGAGTAGCACTGTGGAAACTCTGAGGTACAGGGGATTAGGACTTTGCAAATCTGTCAAAAGTAGACATCCCTGTCATGCCCCGGATAGTTTTGGAAGTATGTGAATTGAAAGGAAATAAAGCTGAATTTTCAAGGTACAACTCTTCCTCTTATAGTTCAGCTTATTTGAGTTCCCATTGGGGAGGTGGCAATTGCTCAATGGGCCTGCTCTTTCTAGGATGTGGTCATGGCAGTCTCAGAACCAATCTGGAATCCTGCATGAGGCATAGAAACAATGGGATGTATGAAACTAACGTTGAATTTATTTGATAGTATTGCATAGATCCAGATCAGAAACCAATCCTAAAGGCTGCAGCCCTTTCAGTGATGTCTGGACCCATGACTTACCTGATTTCTTGTTGCTTTTACACCTGTAAAGAATGTAGGACTGTCTGTCCTGTTAACTTGTCCCTGACTGGCCAAAGGTTATTGAATTTAACAGTAACTTTAAACAGCAATTTCTAGAAGAATTTGAATAGAGGAGTAACTGAGAAGTTAAAACATGTTGTTTTATTGTCATCTGATAATAATTAAAATTGTTAAGAGGTGAAGGAAGAAAGCAGGATTAAATGTTACTAATAACATTCAGAAGTAGCTGTTGGGAAGGAATTTGGTTTAAAGCTGCAGCGTGTGCATGCAGAAGCATACTTAGCTACACTGTTTTGGGTTAGATGGACAGAGGACACAGGCCTTAAAGGCAGCTGCTTAGAAAAAAGTTTCTGATTTTTAGATTAAACCTTTCTTCTGTTTTTACCTGTTTCAGACTTTTGTCCCAGTGTACAGAATATTTTGACCTGAGATGTCAGTTACTGGATGACCTCACGTGTAAGTATGTACAGGCACACATGTCATTCTGATTGCAGCTTCCAAGCATGTCTTCCTTCTGTAGCCAAGATGTAGAATTGCCTTCACAGAGGGGTTACTACACCGTGAACTCGATGTGACCTGCCAGTATGCCAGTTGTCCTGTGTTAATGCCTGGCATGGACTGTTCTTGGCGTTGAGTAACAGCAAGGCAGCTCACTCCTTTTGGAAAGTGAACTGAGTTCCTTTGTGGAAGGTATACTTTGTACACATTGTGGGGTAAACTACACGGTTACCAAAATGTTTGAAATTCTTTGTATTTGTATTCTACATTTATAGAGCTGTTAATTTTTCTAGGTTTTCCTGTTCTCTTGCAGCATCAGAAATGGAACAGCTAAAGATAAGCCCAGCTGCCATGTTAGAAGATGAGATCACCTGGCTAGACAATTTTGAACCCAACCGCACAGCTGAGTGTGAGACCAGTGAAGCTGATAACATCCTGTTAGCAGGACACTTGAGGCTCATCAAGACTCTCCTTTCACTTTGTGGGGCAGAGAAGGAAATGGTTGGTAAGTATTACTTTTTACCCTAGAGTGACTAGACAAGTGTGAATTCTGCATAGCACTAACAGATGACTTGATCAGTAAACAGTACGTGTGAAGACATTATAATACATCAGTAGGAGTGATACAGAGCTATAAGGAGTAATTTTGGCAGTACCTTTGTTGTACCTCTGACATTTGATAAAATATTTGGACATGTTTTTTGTTGATACGGTGCTGTTAAGAGATTTCATTGTTATAGAACACCTTTTGACATTTGCAGTGATAATGTTAAGTATTAAGCAGTAGATGTGGATTACTGTGTTACAGGTTCATCTTTGATTAAGCCGTTGTTGGATGATTTTCTCTTCAGAGCATCCAGGATTATTCTGAATAGCCATTCTCCAGCAGGCAGTGCTGCAATCAGTCAACAAGATTTTCATCCAAAGTAAAAATTGTTTTGTTTTGTTTTTATATCGGGTTTTGTCCTAGATCTCACAAATGCAAATGGCACACTGGGACTGGAACATTTCTCCAGTTCTCTACATTTCCTACCTAAGTATCCAAATAGCACTTTTGTAAGTTTTTGTGTGACCTAAAATCTTTGCTTTTCTGTACCTCCAAGGTCTGTGCTTTGTTTGTTAAATCAATGATGAACTGCAAGCACAACTGAGTGCTGCTCTCGTGGGTCCAAAGAGTACTCATTTAGGTCATCATTGCTTGCAAAGTTGGCTAAATTTGAGCACAAGCAAGAAACTAACTTTCCTAGCCCCTTGTAAATGAGAATGTCAAAAGTTCCACTATTTTCTTTTCCCTTTCAAAAGAACTGCGTCTCCTTGCACCTGAGATAGCTGATAATAACCCAGAATATATCAAATGGGGAGAAAAGAGTGGGTTTTCTCTTTCCTGTCACGCCTGCCTTCTGTTACTGCCATACAATATCTGAAGGGGTGGGTAGACGAGCTTGTGTGGAGTTTTGTGCTGCTGCAGCTGGATTGCTTACATTACTCTGACTAGTTGGTGTTAGAGTTGGATTGGGCATCTCCTTGCTGCCTTTCCACAAACCATAAAGAAGGTTCCAGCGGAGCATTTAGCAATCCCTGAACTGAATGGACTTGCTGCACCTTAGTCTTTTGCTCCAGGTTTGCTCCACTGCAGTTCATCTCAAGCATGCTCTTTTGTTTGCTTCAAGTAAATAAAGCCTTTTCTTTGGCCTTTAGAAGAAAGGGCTAGTGTGTTTGATCCACTAAAAATTGCCAAGTATAAGTGTTTTGTGCTGGTCTAGCACAGCTTAAGTGTAAGGTCATCTCTTGTAGTGAGTAAGTTACCTGGTCTAGCTCTTTCCAAGCTTATCTCCCTGTAAATAAGTCATTATGTCTCCATCAGTGTTACAGTGATAGAGGGTGTCTTGTCTGTTTGTCCTCAGACATACAACCAATTCTGTGTCTTCTTTTCAGGGCACCTACTTTTCCTTGCTACTGAATGTTAACAGGTGTCTCCATGTCAGTAAGGGAGGCTTATTGAAAGCAGTGTTCCTAGTGCTGCACTTCTGAGTTGATTCTTCCCCATTCCCCTTCCCCAAGAAAGAAAAAATAGCACTCTGTGGTCTCTCAGGAATGTTTTATCATTTAAAGTGTTCCTTTTGAACATTAATTGTCACTTGTTCTGAGTAATATGGCTTTCTGGAACTAGAAATAATTGAGTCATCTACAAAATAGATTTCAAATGTGGTTTTCTTTTTAGGTGCAGTACAGCAGATAGTCGATTAGCTGCGTATGAAGTGTTAGTAATGCTGGCTGACAGCTCACCTTCCAATCTCCAGCTTATTACAAAAGAGCTGCTTTCTATGCATCACCAGTGTGACCCTGCACTTACCAAGGAGTTTGATGTAAGCAAGAAGCCTTTTTTGATTTGTATTAGCGTGGCTTGGAGTACTGTGTATGATCTACTTAACTGCTCTATTCATGAAATTTCCATGGTCTTCAATTTAAAATGACAAAAGGCAGATAAGAGTGAATGCAGACCTGTTTGATCTTCCTCAGAAGCAAATACACCAGTGAGTCTTTGTCAGTTATCATCTGGATAAGAAAGAGCTATTTCCTAAATGTCACCAATTTTATTTAGATACATTTTAGGCCATTTTAAACAGTTTTGTGCAAAGTGTTAAAGATCTAAATGACCAAATATAGCGTTCTTGCAAGCTTCCAGAATTTATATTCCTGGTCTTCCGTTAAATTGCTCTTAACAGCTCATGTAACAGTGATTATAAAAGCCATAGTATGTTGTTGGAGTCTCAGGCTTTTAGAACTTACTGGGACAAAAAATGTGTTTGTCATTCTAGTATCTTCCACCAGTGGATAGTCGCTCTGTTTCAGGATTTGTGGGACTGAAGAATGGTGGTGCTACTTGTTACATGAACGCCGTCTTCCAGCAGCTATATATGCAGCCTGGTCTCCCAGAGGTAATTGGCTCAACATCGAGTAAAGTCCTCTTGTTGGAATTACTGTCACCTGAAGTGCAAGTTTATCTTAGCACTATTTGTAAATGAATTGTTGTTTGTTTAAAAAAAAAAAAACAACACAACCCAAACAAACAAAAAAAAAACCCAAACCTGTGTATGTATGTGTGTGTGCGTAAATATATATACACAATAAATGTATGAATTATAAGTTGTTGTGCTGTGTGTCATGACAACTTAACAGTAATAATTTTGCCAAGAACCAATTTAATAAGGTTCTTTGTTTCCTTCCAGGCCTTGCTTTCCATTGATGATGATACAGACAATCCAGATGACAATGTGTTCTATCAGGTTCAATCTCTTTTTGGTCATTTGATGGAAAGCAAGCTACAGTATTATGTACCTGAGAATTTTTGGAAGGTATTACGTCTTTTTGTTTAGAATGTATAGCTTTCCTACTTAACAAGTAATCATTTATTCAGCCTTTTCTCATTACAGAATTTCTAGAGAAAAAGTACATTCTACTTCAAAAAGTCAAAATGTGTAAAAATAACAAATTTCCTTTTAAAAAAAATCACTTTAGTGATACATCTATGGAGCAACCACATTTTTATATATATTTATACTTTATATAGATTTTCAAGATGTGGAATAAGGAACTTTATGTTAGAGAGCAACAGGATGCTTATGAGTTCTTCACCAGTCTTATAGATCAAATGGATGAGTACCTCAAGGTAAAAACCTCAGGGATTTCTTTCCTTGTTTATATGCATCTCCTTGGTACCTTCTCTCTCTTTCTTTGTTCTTCAGAAAAGAATGCAGAGAGCCATTCGGCTTATTTTATTACCTACACAGTATTCAGAAGTTTAAAATTCCTATTACTTTCTTGGTCTTTGACTCTGCAATGTATCCAACTGATGTCTAACTTTACATCTCCAACAGAAAATAGGAAGAGACCAAATATTTAAGAATACTTTTCAAGGAATCTTCTCTGATCAGAAGATCTGCAAGGACTGTCCTCACAGGTAATGTTAAATCTAGCGCATTAGCTATCAAGTTATGTGCTCCCATAACTATTAAAATATGTAGGTCAAAATAGCACAAGAAGGTAGAGACATATGCCTTTGTGAGCATCACAGTTGTTATGGGCAAATGCAATATTCTTTCCTAAGCATGTCTTGTTAATGCAAGTTGCCAATGCCTTGACTATTTTTCTTCTTGAATTTAGGTATGAGCGCGAGGAAGCCTTCATGGCTCTCAACCTAGGTGTGACTTCATGTCAAAGTCTGGAAATATCATTGGATCAGTTTGTTAGAGGAGAAGTTCTGGAAGGAAGCAATGCGTACTACTGTGAAAAGTGCAAAGAAAAGGTACTGGTTCTTAACATGTGAAAGAAGATTCAGCTATAGCTTGATGTTTTCTTAAACATTATATGGTCATAGAAGCCATGCTTTGATACCGCTTACTCTTTCTACGTTGAAGACATAATCAAAAGGTTAAATCTATGAATCCATGCAGATTGTATTCTTCATTCCGTGTAACTTGTATTGTAGACTGAACATTTAGAGGGACAGCAGGATGGTAAAATGTCCTGTAACATATTACCCCACTGCACAAACTCTGTAATACCTGCAATAGTACCCTATCTGTACGTATTAGTCATCCTGCCTCCTGTGGCTGTATTGTACATCAATTCAAGATGACTGGAATTGTGCGTCTGTAGAATACTACAGAATGCTTGAGGTATATAGATAGAGGTAATATTCTTTTTTCTTTTTAAGAGAACTACAGTGAAGCGCACATGCATTAAAGTCTTACCTAGCCTGTTGGTGATTCACCTGATGAGATTTGGCTTTGATTGGGAGAGCGGACGTTCTATTAAATATGATGAGCAAATAAGGGTAAGAAAACTCTTCTGTATGGCGTGCCCACCACCACGGTGCTTCATGGAGTTGACAGTGGCGTGGACTCTCTTCCTATTCGTTGTTCCTTCTTTTCCCCACATTTTGATACAGGGACTTTGAGTACGTGATCCACTTGCAACACAGTCATGCTACAGAACATAAGTGGTTTTTTGCTTAGAGCTTTCCTTGTCTGCAACATTCTCGGGGTCCTTTCAGAAAGCAAGAGCAAAAACCTCCATAGCAGCATTTTATTTAACTTCTGTCTTAAGGATAAAAAGTTGAAGTACCATGTTTTCCTTTGGTGTTCCCAATGTGGGAAGTATTAATACAATTCTCATAAAATTACACTAAGCATGTACACAATATAATCTCTCAGTTAATCTGAAATATCTCTTCAAACAGTTTCCCTGGATGCTGAACATGGAACCTTACACTGTGTCAGGGATGGCTCGCCAGGACTCCTCCTTGGAAGTGGGGGACAACGGTAGAAACACAGATCAAGGAGGCGGAGGCTCCCCGAGGAAGAAAGTTGCCCCTACAGAAAACTATGAGCTTGTTGGTGTGATTGTTCACAGTGGCCAAGCACATGCAGGGCACTACTACTCCTTTATAAAGGACAGGAGGTAATGGCCAAGAAGATATGCATGGAGGGTTTGAGAGCGATCTAAAGACTACTTATTTTGGGACGGTGTTGTGAGCTATTCAGAGCTCTATTGGAAGCGCTTTTCCCTTTCTTAACACCCAACATTGTGAGTGTTAAGACAGTAACACAGTAATATGGGACACCATATTATAAAAGTCTCGCAATTCTTATGTACCTTGTATTGCAGTTTGAGGGCTTCCTAAGATGCTTAGTTGCAGGTGATGTGCTTCTCATTTTTAATCAAGCTTATTTTTTTTAAAATGTAACTTTGGCATTGATTGAACTAAGCTTTCTATTTACTGTCAAAACAAAATGTCATTTCTAGGGTGTTCAGGGTGGTTTGAGTTTTTACTAGACAATCAAGTAACTTTATTTCTGTTGTGTTCCTATTCTGTTTTGATCACAGGGGATGTGGAAAAGGGAAGTGGTATAAATTTAATGACACCATTGTTGAAGAATTTGATTTAACTGATGAAACCTTGGAATATGAATGTTTTGGTGGAGAGTATAGACCTAAAGTCTACGATCAATGTAAGCAGAAGTACAGATTGATTTACAGTAGCTTTATATTTCATACTGCTGCTCAGTAGAGTTAGAGCTGAGTCCATTATATCTACTTCGAGTTACTTGGTCTGATAATCCTTATAAAGCAGTTTTTTCCTAAAACCTTCTGTTCACTGAAGCACATAACAGCATGTTTACGACCTAACATTAATTGAACCGCATTCACTGTTGATCAGCACTTTGTAGACTTAGTAGCAGAGGAGATTCAAAGGTAAAATAGCACCTTGTTAAAATAGTTAATAAAGAAAAAAAAACAGAACAAAATGAAAACACCGGAACTCCCACAAACAGGCCTTATTTTAGGCTAGTGAAAATGACTGTGCATAAAACATGGTGTGGCATCATATAGTTAAACTTTTCAGTGCCTTAAAGGAATTAATTCCAAATACATTTCCACCAATATTCACTTGTTTCACAGTTCTGATAATTATATTTTTAAAATGCATATGCTTTTTGAAAAAATATTTTAGGTTTTTGTTATTTGCTAACATAGACTAATGCTTTGACCTGACAAATGACTTTATACTACCACAGTGTATATTACTTGCATACCCAGTTTCAGTTTCCTGTAGGAGTGAAAAAGGTACTAAACCTTCAAAGGCCTTCACTGAATGCCTTTTCTCCCATCAGCTAACCCTTACCCTGATGTGCGTCGGCGCTACTGGAATGCCTATATGCTGTTTTACCAGAGGGTGTCTGATCAGAACTCTCCGGTCTTACCAAAGAAAAGTCGAGTGAGTGTTGTGCGTCAAGAAGCTGAGGACCTCTCGTTGTAAGTTCCTCTTGTGTCCATGAAGGTTTCTCTTATGTTGACATCTAGATGCTATCTCCAGCACTAAGAAATGAATAGTTCTTGTTCCGACAAAGAAGTATACTGACCCTTGTGTCATTTTGGTTTTGTTTTTTAAGCTGCTTAATGAGTAGTCCTTTATTACTTCTTTAATTTTCTCTTCCATACTGCTGTCACTATTGCAGTAGGAAGTTCAAGCTGACTTACAGCCTCAAGAAGTATTTAGACTGTCATCTCAATTTGCCTTAAGATTACACTGGCTGTACTGGTATTTTAAACTTGAACTGTAGGTTTGTTATAGGATTTCATTATTCACTTTGAGCTTGTATGTATTTCAGATCTGCTCCATCTTCACCAGAAATTTCACCCCAGTCATCACCTCGACCCCATAGGCCCAACAGCGACCGCCTCTCCATCTTGACTAAGCTGGTTCGAAAAGGAGAAAAAAAGGGACTTTTTGTGGAGAAAATGCCTGTGCGGATATATCAGGTAGAGCACTCAAGGTGGCAACTAAATCGTACTCGTATGAAATTTAAGCACATAACAAGAGGAACACAGTAACTTTCAAGGTGGCCTTGAAGTAGTTCCCTTCTTGAAAGCAAAGCGAGAAAATAATTCTGGATTCTGACATTAACAAGCTGTTCAGTGATACATTATTGTAAGTTTTGCTGTCCCTTCACACAAAATTGACCCATCGTGCTTTGCTTTGAAGAAACTGCAGGCAGATTAGTTAAACATGAGATACAGCAGCAGTCAGCATGCAAGCAGGGAGAGAGAAGAGCAGAAAAGATGCTTCATCTGAAGTACACTTGAGGAGTAATGGAGACAATGGCAAATTGCAGTAATCCTCAAGTTCTTGAGTTCACGAAAATGATGAAGGGGGAGGAGAAGCAAGAGAAACCAAAACCAGCTTCAATTCTGTTCAAGTCTGTTAGCTTATGTAATACTGAATATGATCTAAAAGGGGAAAACATGGATGTTGAAGGCAACTTTGCAAGTTAGGACTGCAAATGGAGGTGTGATGGCATTGGCAGAGCAGTGACAGGACGGTAGAACCTGGATGTTGGTTAGCTGTCATAAGAGGAAGGTCTCAGTTCACAGGCCTGCAGCTCTATTCCGTACAGGAGGGGTTACAATCTTGCATGTATTTGGCTTTCTGAACACACACCATCCTGCTGATCTGCACATACACAAGAGAGCCTGCATCACATACACAGTCAGAATAAACTGCACGGGCTATGTATGACCCTCTACATGGGCTGTATCAGGGCATTAATAGTCACTTTAGGCTTTCTTGTATCTGGGGTTGTATTATCACGATGAACAGAACTTGGCTCAAATTTATTCTTTCAGCAAAATCTCATTTGAAAAAAGAGGAGCTTGGCATTTAAGTAGATTATTGTGGCTGCAGCTTGTAATTATACCATGGCTCCTTGCTTTGTACGTGTGAGTTTGCTAAGCAAGCCTTTCAGGTTTGAAGGATGTTGTCTTGGCTTTTTTATTAAAAGCAAGCAAAAAATAGAACTTACGAGCAACTTCTTCCTTTTTCTTTCCCTTAATAGCCAAATGATTAAGTCCCTCATCTGTTGTCTTGTGTTTTGTAATACCTTTGGAAGAAAATCACTGTTTTTATACAAATCTTCCAAGTCTCCTATATGTATTTTCCCCTCCGCTGAAGTAGTGATTCAGAGCATGAACAGAATAGGTCTGACACTGGTTTTTAAACACCACACATGTAAAAGATGCAATTTTACTTAGAGAAACGTACTTTGACAAAATTTTAAATCTTTTTGCCTTCTTTTACAGATGGTGAGAGATGAAAACTTGAAATTTATGAAGAACAGAGATGTATACAGTAGTGACTACTTCAGTTTTGTTCTGTCACTAGCTTCACTGAATGCTGTAAGTACCTAGATTTTAATCTTAAAGTATTCTGAATATGTTGCATAGAAAGAGCCACAGAAGGTATTTGGGTCACAAACAGGAAAACTGGAAGAGAAGGGTTGACGTGATTTTGCTTTTCCAGCTGAGCAATTCATTGTCTCTGTCATGGTTTAGCCCCAGCCAGCAACTAAGCACCACACAGCTGCTCGCTCATTCTTCCCTCCCCTCCCAGTGGGATGGGAAGGAGAATC